CGCAGAAGGAATGATGTCTGTCTTCCAATGCGCCTACAGACTGCAGCACAGTGCCCTGCCCACATCTCTGGCAGTCCCTGCACACGCCAGTATATTCCCAGGAGCAACCCACCCTCAACCCATGGGGAGGGGAGCAGGTGTGTAGGTACCTCAACTTCCTCACCCTCCTATGGGACAATTCTGAGCATGTCCCACATGGTCTCCCAGAGGGTCCCCTGAGGGTTGAGTCCCAGCGGCTCACAGCAATCACTTGCTTGTGAATACATTGTTGTTTTCTAGGGTCCCTACTCTTTCACAGCGCTGCCTGGGACCACTGCCCAGATAAACTGCTTGCACCCAAATCCTGTCTCACAGTCGGCTTCTAGGGACATCCAAATTAACACATACAGACCTTAGACAAGGAGCCCCTGGGCAGCAGCCCCGAGGGACAGAAGAGCACAAGGTAGGGCTCCCACGCAGCTCTAAAGCATCAGGGAGGAGGCGCCCAGCTATAACTACGATTGAATATCCAGTAAATCTAACTGTAATTATGATTGAATTTCCAGTACATCTGGTAGGATGTGATGAATTGACTCAATTTGGCCATGTCGCATTTGTGACGTTCTGGTAAATATCAGTTGCTTCTGGAAGTTTGAGGTAGACGGTAGCTATGTGCTACCGTCACCACAACCTCCTTAGCCGGTGGTGATTTGTAGTGAAAGCCAGCCTTGGACCAAGTCTATCAAACATATAAACCTTTATTAATGGCCCCAAACAATATTCCTGTTCTTAGAGTTTGGCAAAGTCCCACTGTCTGTCCCCAGGCGTCCACACAATACGTTGCGTGAAAGCTTCACTCTTTAGATGCAGTGAGACAGTGGCACTAGTAACCCTGTGGTCCACAGGGACGTGAGGCAGGTCACAGACCGGTGCAGCAACACTCTGCTCCAGAGTGTGTGCACTGCCAGGCCCGATGGAGTCATATACCCTATAGGTGTGAGGATGGGGCCTCCACAGTATTTCTAGTCAACCACATACCTCAAGTCTCCACTCATTTGACCTTTAAAAGATGATTTTTATTTATTTACTTACTTATTTTTTGAGACAGAGTCTCACTCTGTTCCTCCGGCTAGAGTGCCGTGGCATCAGCCTAGCTCACAGCAACCTCAAGCTCCTGGGCTCAAGCGATCCTTCTGCCTCAGCCTCCTGAGTAGCTGGGACTACAGGCATGCGCCACCATGCCTGGCTAATTTTTTCTATATATTTTTAGTTGTCCCATTAATTTCTTTCTATTTTTAGTAGAGACGGGGGCTCGCTCTTGCTCAGGCTGGTTTTGAACTCCTGACCTTGAGTGATCCTCCTGCCTCAGCCTCCCAGAGTGCTAGGATTACAGGTGTGAGCCACCGCGCCTGGCCTAAAAGATGATTTTTAACATCCCATGTGCTGCTTAATGAAAACTCTGGGGTAGATTTTGAAAACATCTGAAGTGCTTATGTAGCCACCTTTGGAACTTGGATTCCTGTTTAGGATATTTCAAATGCTAACTGCTCCTGGGATGGAGATTAAAGTTAATTCATGCACACACACACACACACACACACACACACACACACACACAAACACATTCAAATCCCTCTACTTACATGAAGTATTTAAATGACCACATATACAATAGCTAAATTTATTGAGCATTTATGTCATAACAGACACTTGAAAGGAGCTTACCTTTAACCCTCCAACACTCGAGTGAGGTGGGTTCCATGAATGGCGCCATTTTCCACCATGAGGAAACTGAGATGGAGGGATGTCATCCCATGGTCTGAAAGTTGCCAGCAAGGGTTTAGACTCTGGCAGTCCAGTTTCAGAGAGCCTAGCTCCTTAACTACTATCCTACAAAGCCTCTAAATAGGGGCCATTGCCAGAGATCATTTAGAAGGATACAGAAATACAACACTCACACTCTTAGAATATTTGAAAATCTGAAAGAAAAATGACATCATAATTAGTGAGAAGTTAGTAGCTCTCAAGAAGTCTCTGTACCGTGCACCTAGACACATGCACGCGCCCGGAGTCAGTGGAGGCAGCCCCGTGTTCGGGCCCTGTCCCAACTCGAGCTGGTCTCCTCCCGGCATTTGGAGTGAGGACCAAGATTCCAGCTCCAATCTGACTGCTCTCTTGATAACAGAGTTGCCGTCGGAGTTTTGTCCCACCTCACGGCCTGGAAAGATGGGAAAGCTGGTCTGCAGGGCAAGAGAGACAAAAGACACTGTGAGGAGACTCTTGAAGCCTTCAAGTACCAAAACCCGACAGCACCCCTGATCCATACCTTCATACACACGAAATTCCTTTTTGGCTTAAGCCAAAAAGGAATCTCGAGTTTTAATGGTTACATCCGTGAAAAGTTTTCCAACCAAGAAATACATGACGTTAGGAAGGTTCACTGGCAGCAGTTTATGAGCTACAGAGCAAGAGGAGAGGGACCAGAAGCAGAGAGAAAGTTGACAATAATGACCCAGGAAACAGACAGTGACAATGCAGAGAGACAGTGGGAATGGGAAACAAATGGTTTGAGGTAGGACAGGGAGGCATGAACATTCTAGCTTTCTCCAAGTTCCTTCCATTAAATCCTTCTGTTAAATCTATTACTATGCAAAGTTACAAACACATAGCAAAGTTTAAAGAATTTTAGATGAACATATACCCACCTCTAGATCATATAACATTCACATTTTACTATATTTGCTTTATCAAGTATCTAGCATGTCCATCCCTCTAACCATCCATTAATCCATCTCATTTTTAGTGCTACATTCAAAATAAACTATAGACAACAGAACACTCCCCTCAAATAATTCAGTGGGAGTATCATTAGAGTTCAATATCTGCTTAGTTTTCCTTTTAAAGTAAAATTTAAAAACAATGAAATACCCAAATCATAAATGTACATTTGCTGAGTTTTGACATATACCTATATAACCCAAGCCTTTATGTCAAGATGTAGATTGCTACTGTCACTCCAGAATGTCCCCTTGTGCCCCTTTTTAGTCCACCTCCACCCCCATCCTCAGTAATCTCTACTTTTCTCCCCCAGATCAGTTCGGGGATAGGCTGTTTTCAATCCTCTCCTTGAGGCCACTGCAGTAGCATTCCAAGCAGTGGCCCTCAGGGTCAGTCTAGGCATAAAATGTGGTCCATCTGCATTCTTTCCCTGCCCAGGAATGGCAAGGCGTTTGTACTAGGGATGAATAAGCACTCAAAGGCCCCAAACTTGTGAGAATAATTTGAAAAGTACTCCATTTAGAATTTCATAAAAAGATTAAGGGCCCTACAGTCTTTTATAAAACTGGCTAGTAAAACTGGAAAGCTTTTTAAAAAACAAGCCCAAAAAAGCTTACTGTGTATATTTCCATATGATGATACACTTCATATTTTTTAATTGCTAAAGGCAGACAGTGTAATAGGAGGATTCCAAAAGAAAAGAACCTGAGCCTAAACCACAAAATAGTCTATCTGTCTTTAAATAGACAAAACCACCACTCAAACAGATTGCTTTTCTCTTTAATATATAAATGATATTTAAAACATTTATTTAGCATTAGCCATGGTTAGCTAGCCTGGTTATCAACATACTCACATTGTAGGCACTGGACACGTTCCTGCTTGTATCGGAACCCATGGAACAAATGGTTGCTTCTGCCACCCCCATCCTGGTATTTTTCAGGGTGATACAGTGTGCGTGTGTGTGTTGGGGAGGCTGTTGGAAAGGTGTATGTGGAAGGTGGGAACAAAAGGCCAGGCAGGCATCACTATAGATCCTGTTCCTGTGGCAGGGGTTGGGGGGGGGGCCGGATGCTCAGCCCCAATCTGTCCTGCCTTAGGGACTTTATAAAGAGCCTAGAGACACAGTGAGATGTGAACACAGCAAGGACTTTTCTTCTGGTAAGCAACTGTGACCATAAGCACAGGCAGGGCTCAGAAAACAGGCTTCAGTCCAGTCAGCTCCCCTCTCTCCCCAACTCCCTCTTAGAGACAGCAGGAGGTAACATGAAGGCACAGACCCCAGCTCTTGACAGAAGCCGACCCCCACCCTCTTTACATGGGATGGAGAATGTTCCACTCTTTACTACCCCCCTGAGTCCCTCTTGCCCTCACCTGGACACCAAGGAACAAACAAAATTAAGAGGGAGAGACAGCAGAGTCCACCAAAGTCCAAGAGCAAGACAAATGTGGAGAATAAGACTAGAAGCTGAACTCTAGGGTCATAGCTACTACTTGGAAATTTAATACAAATACCAAAGAACTAAAACATCTGGGAAAAAAACATAGCAACGAGAGCTTATTAAATTCCAGGGATGTCTCAGAGCCACTTTCTGGACATCAGAGAGTGCACATGGCCAGACAGGAAAGGGTGGTGGCACAAGCAACAGGGTGCGAAGCCCTCCCTGCAGGTGAGAAAGGCCAAAGGGATGGACTTCTCAGAACACACGGGAGTGAGATGTCTCAATCTAATAAGAATTAAACAAAACTAATTAGAAACAAATCCTCCTCTCATAAGCCATCGCTCTGTGCTGGCTTACTACTTATCCTCTCTGGAAGGAAACACAAATCCTTTTTCTATCTTGCGTGGTTTAGATGAACTCAGATCTCTTCCAGCACTTCTTATTCCAGAATAATAGAATTCTACTTTTACAGATCCCCATAAAAGCACTGAGATAGAAATATTTAATTTCAGGGGCTTTAAAAACCCTTTTCTTTTAATCACCCTACAGGGCCTCCAACTCTATTTGAAATTTCTTCAGCATTTTATTGCCAGTTGAAATTTTAAATATTTGGTTATTTGTTCCCCACCACCAATCAACCAACCAGACACAGGACCCCCTTCCCACATATACGGGAATGCAAACTCCACTCCCTGTTGCTCTGTCTCCTAGGCCCTGACTGGTAGTCAGCACATGCTTAACATTTCCTGAATGGATGAAAAGGTTACTTCATGTGTTATACCAACCACACCAAATACAGCATTGCTTGTAAATTGTGCTTTAATGTCTGCAATCAGATATGATGCAGTGAGATACAAGTATAAACTTTCATTGTGCATTCAGAAAATAAAAAGCACATTTATACAGATTTAGCCCAACAGCTTATTCCCTTACAAAGAAAAAAAAAAGTTTTGTATTTAATTAAAGCTAGTTTATCTTCAGTGTAAAAACTTGGAGGTATAAACAAACTCATGATATTATATACAGTAAATTAATGTACATTTCCAAACTTACATATTATAGCATTTTAAACAAAGTAAATGGTCTCATTTCAGCTTTTACTATTAAGCATAATCCACATCTCAATCTTGGATAAAAATTTCACAATATATAAACCCACTGAGAATTCTGTATACAAATACAAGTTATAGAAATCTGATTTCAAATATAAATACAAAAATTGTCATGACCTTACCATGTTACAACAGCTTACTTATTTTTCTATTGTAATTTTTTAAAAAAAATCATAGAAAAATATTTCAATGCACATTCAACTGCTATGACAAGGGCCATGACCTTGTGCCTTTAAACCATACTTGTGGAGTATAAAGCATCACACCGGGCATTTTTGGAATGAAAATTCTAAGACTGAAGAGGCTACCATTTTAAACAGGTTATAATATGGTAACAAAAATATTTAGCTCCATAGTGTGTTTGGGAGGCAATGGGCAGAGAAGTGGAGGTTAGTGCTAACTTAAAAAGGCTCATGGAAGGTATGTGAAGGTAAGCTACGGAACTAGTTAGTGTATTTCAAAAATCCCTATCGCAAGCCTAACACTGACCTTGCTGGTAACTCTTAAGGCAACCAAGACTGAGCATGTGTTTGGCCCCCAGGAGAGTGAATCCTGCCCTCCCCTCAGCTTCTGCCATCTTAACAGACCACCCGGCTCGTGCTGGAGCGGGGAGCACAGCAAAACAACTTGTACGTATAAAAGACGATTCAGTGCAAACCTAGAAACTCCTCTTTGTCAATAGTTTCAAAATTCCTAATTGCCCTTGAGCAACTGAAAGTTTTTCTAAACATGTAACATTCAAATTGGGATCCATACTGGAGAACAAATGTGTATAAAAGGCAAACATTCAATTTAAAACATTCTAACATGAGGTTTCTTTCCCTTTCTTTTGTGGGATTTGACAGAGTTCCATTGAGGATGAAAAAACTGATCCTTACAAAGTATACTTTTCTACAATTAAAAAAGAAAAAAAAATATATATATATATATAGACAGCAGATCCAAGAAGGTGACCAGGCATAGTCAAGTTTCTTCTATGGCTTTTTAAATCACTGAGGTATTATATGATAATCACTACTGATATTTATGTTTAACTACTTTCCTATGAGAGCCACATTCAAAAGTGACCCAAGCCCATCAGTCTGTAAAGGTAACAAAACTCAAGGAAGCAGCTGAGCTGAGGGGCTGCAGAGAAGCACAGCCACAGGGGCTCCAAAGCCTCAGGCAGGGGGTTAGAACAAGGCAAAGCAATTCATTCCAAACACTGAGAGGAATGGGAGCTCCTCTGGGCAAACAAAGAGATTCCCCAGTTTAACCAACTGGTTTAGCAGCAAGACACTGGGACTATGTGCCCCAAGGCAGGGAGTGCAGGGACAGTGTGCGCAGTACTGAGCAGGCAGAGGAAGACCTGGAGCTGTCAGCAGAGGAGAGAGGGCAGGTATTGGCTAGCTCGCCATCCACATGCAAGGTGACACAGCCTACAAAGGAGGGAAGGATGATCTGAAATGTCAGGATGGGCGACACCGGTGGAATCTCCCAGCTTTTCCATAGGCAAGAGCACATAGAAAGGAAAAATGCTATGATTTAAGTAAATGCTATATATCTTAATACCTCTGTTTGAATCTTTCAATTTGCCATTTAAATAGCACATAAAGCTGAACTTGCTCCCAACTGAGATAGGTTACAGAGAAACTTACTATTCCCAGAGACTGGGTAAATTTATCTTGGCACAGAAAGGATCTGAAGAAAGCATCAAGTCCAGGAATATGTTAGCGAAGCCCTTCCCATTTGTAAACTGGCCAGTGCAGGTTCTATATAATACTTAGGCATCAGAAAACGGCCACAGTCCTATTACGGGTCAAGTAGTAATTCTTTTCAATTAATAATACTTTTAATTGCATAGTCTTTCAGAACCATGAAAAATAATGAGAACCAGCTCTTTTCCTGAAGGCCCAGGTTTACTCCAACAGAGCGCTGGGCTAATGGCCCTCCCAGCATTAGCTGCAGCGTGACTCAAATCCAGGGATCAAGTGTCCCAATCTCCCACACTCCTCTTTCACAATCATTCAGCAAATAGGTCACACGTCCCCTAGATCCACAAACTCATCTTCTCGTTTGGCCAAATCTTCCTCATCTCCCAAAGCTTTCCAGCCACTGGTGGGCAAGACGGGCTTGGAGGAATGTCGCTGCAGCAAAGCAAAGGGAAACAAAGAGGACAGGCGGGCAGAGTTCCTCAGCAGGCAGGGGGGCTCTGCCTGGGGGGCCTCCTGGCTGTGGTGTCTCTCCTCGATTTTCTCTTGTAAGCTCTGGACTTCCTCCATCATTTCCAAGAGTTTGCTCATAGTGGCCACTGTGCCACCACCTAGGATTTGGGCTTCTGGAATCCAACGCAAGTAGCGCTGGGCCCAGACTCTGATTTCTGGTCCCTCTATATGAGGCAACAACAAACCGTGATAGTCAGTGGGCTTGCTATGCCAGCTGTCATAGAACTCTCGAAAGTTGTCTTGCAGCTCGTCGGAAGAATTAATAAGTTTGCTAATTCTCTTGCCCAGAAGGTTTTTAATTAAATGATCTGTTTCTTCCCTGAAAAATCCTCTTTTGGGAGATGACTTAGATTGGGTGAGTGGCAAAGAAAGTTGTCGTTGATGCTTTGAGAGAAAACACAAATAAAAATCTCTGGTTAACATAAGAGCCACAGTTACAGTTGTTACCATAAAAAAAAAAAAAGGGGGGGCATAATCCTACTTCAACAAGTATCAAGAGCCATCAGGATGGCCCTGTGAATGCACATGCATGAAAATGCTGTCACATGCAAAGGAAGGCGGTTCTTGTTTATTCCCATGCTGTTTCAGAAACACATGGGAAACCAGGTGCGGGTGGCAGCTGCACAGAGGCATGTTGCGACACAGAGGGGAGCCTTCAGTGCCCTCCTCCCCATCACAGGAGTACCAGAGGACACAAGTACTGAAAAAGCTGTTTAACTTAAGACAGGTTAATGATTTAGGGGAATTCAGAACACGCGTATTCATGTCTCGAAGGAAGCAAGATATTTCTTCTTTGAGAACTTCAGGGCTGTTAACCTCTACGATATTCTGAACACTTGCAAGGAAGCAGGGCTGACTGCCTGAAGATCCCATCACGTGGATGAAATAACTTAGCAGCTTATCAGGCATCCAGTGGGAGTTTAAGCCTAAGTCATAAAGATTCTTTTGGACAAAGAAAACAGAGGCAGGTGGGAGCAAAGGAATGTGGGGAACCAGCTAAGCTGGCGAGACATTCGTGTCTGACAACCTGCACTGAGAAGAAAGCTTGAGAGTATTTACATTTTTCTCCTTGGTAATTCTCTCTGAGGCCAAAGCAGAGTGTTATTTTGGGGTGCACTGTGAAAGCATTGTGAAGATGGGTAAAGCGGTCAGGTCACAAGAGTTCCCCGGTGCCCAAAGGAGAAGGTTAAAAAAAAAAGATGGGGAAAAGCTACTTCTCCTCAAATCTTTCACTCCTGAGATGTTCAAAGTAAGAACAGATAAAGCACTTACTTTCAGGCTAGCCCTGTAACTATCTAATACATTTTGGCCAGTAGTTCTTCCTTGTAAAAAAAACTTTTTTCATTATAAATAAAATATTTTCTTATTATGGAATATGGCATAACAAAAATATTTTAAAAAAGCAAAGCCATTCACAAGACCACAACTCAGGGATGACCAGGATTTCTAACTCTCCATCCGAGAAGAGGAGAGATGAAGGCCAGGAGTCGGCGGCCGCTCTTCTCAGCGGACGAGGCGTGTCAGGCAGGGCAGGTGGCTGAGGAACGCGGACGAAACCTAACTGTCACCAAGCGCTTACTGCCTGCCAGGTTCTGCGCTCACTGCTTTACGTGCATCGATGGCCCTAATTATCAAAGTCACTATTACTGCCCCATTTAACAAATGAGGAAACTAAGGCACAGGGGTTAAGTATCTGCCAAAGGCATAGGCTACCAAGTGCCAAAGCCGTTTTCAAACAGTCTGACTCCAGAGCCCGGGCTCTTAACTAAACTCTCCTTGTCCTGGACACCCGGTTCTCTCAATCTCCTGAGTGAAAGGAGCAGGCCGAGGTGGGAGCAGCACAGGCTTCCCGACCTGCAGCGGAAGTTGGCACTGCACACCTCAGCGGACCCCTGCCCCTCGCATGGCAATTCACAGAGCAGCCCTGCATGCTGCTCAGCCTCAGCTGTCCTCGTTCCACAGCACGTCCTTCAGGCCACTGGTCCACTCCACCTGCTGCCCTCGTCTGAAATCTGGTCTTCTTACTCAAACACTTCAAAGCTCCCCATTGCCCCAATTCCAATTCAGTTCTAGTACAATCTGAAATTCTCTAACCCTTCTGCTCAAACCTCTCCCACCAACCTACTCTTGGAGCCCAGGCTGTCTGCCCCTATCCACAAGGAGAAGGGACAATTAGGAAAAACTATGTCTGAAGAGAGAAATGAAATCTGTTCTTAGAAGGGGGAGCCTTAGTTTCCTCTCCTGTAAAGTATGGAGTGGGCCTCGCTGTCTCTGAGGTCCCCTGCAACTCTGGCGTGCAGTTCTGTGACCTTAACCTGCTCCCATGAGGATGTGCACACGGCCACCAGGGGGCACAACACACTGAAGAAAAACTGATCTCTGGCCAAATTGCTCCAGGGCTCAGGGCAATTCTGGTCAAACTGGCAGAAACAAGGTGAACCAGAAAGGGGAAATATCCACCCTGGGCCTGAGGACCCCTAAAAGGGCAGAGTGGCAATTCTAAGTCATTATGGAGCTAATAATATCTCTGATTTCTGGCTTTGGCTCACCTAATCCTCTTCAGAATGGAATCAACTCCCACACCAAAACTGGCCAGGCTCCCTGCAGCCCCTGACCACCAGGTGGGCTCAGGATGCGAGAGAGAAGGCGTGACACACACCGACCTGGGTTTGCTACCACTGTTTTCCCGTTCGTTGGGGGGAAATCCTGGGCCTAGAAACAAAGCTAGGAAATAGCATTTAAATAACCTCTCAGTTAGAGAACTTTGGGGTTTAACAACTCATAAAATCAGGGACAAACATCTGAAGGGAAAAACAAATCTTTGACATTTTGGTTCATAGCATGGGTCAGCAAACTGGCAGCCCTTGGGCTAACTCTGGCTTGGCACCTATTTTCGTAAATACTGGAATGCAGTCATGCCCATCTGTTCACTTATTGTCTAGGGCTGCTGCTGTGCTACAATGGCAGGGTGGGGTGGTTGTGACAGAGACTGTACGGCCCTTGACAGAAAAAGTTTCCCAACCCCTGGTTTATAGGTACAGCCCATGAAAAAAGTCTTAGTGGTATCTGCTGAGAAAAACCCATACAATCAATGTTCCTTGTACTCTACTAACCACACATAAGTAGGAGTGAGAGGCACGACCCCATGCAGCTCGACTATAGCAGCAGCACCCTTAATGACAGCCAGCAAATGGCCATGTCTCATTAGAGCAAAGGCCGATTTGCTGAAAGCAAAGGATTCTGATGGGCCCTGACAATTTGCCTGTCACAAATCTTGAGTCTGCAGACTGTCTCAAAGGGTAAATCACACACCGGCAGACAGAATCCACATGTAAATTTTGTCCTTATACACATAGGACCTGGGACAGATGCAGGGGGTTAGACATGTGGACATCTTACTTTGGAACGCACTCCTTTCCGTTGGCCTTTGTCCAGCTTTGGCTTTTCCACGTAAAGAGGGTTTTTGAGCAACGTCTGGGCTTTGGGTTCAAACTGCACAGACCAGTCCCACACGGAGAGCAGATTCAAAGGCTTGCTTTGTGTATCCTGGCTTTCCCTGCCCTGCCAAGACAAGCACAGGTCACGATGGCTTCCAGGGAGGGCTGAGGAAGGCAAACACTGAATTCTGAGAAATGAGCACCAGGAAGGGCACTCCTGCCCTGCCCTGAACATGAATATTCATGGGTACTTCATTTTTAGAGGCTGAGGCTACCAGTGGTTACTCACTAAATGCTTTCAGACAGGGGGAGGGTAAGAAGGATGCTTACCTTCTGTGGACTATATGCCAGACACCTTGCTGGGCACTTCCATAATCTTTTTTTTTTTCATAATCTTTTGAGATAACTACTGTTCTTCCAATTTTACATTTGAAGAAACTGAGGCTCAGAAAGCTGAAGTGAACTGCCCAAGGGCACAAAGCTGGTGAGTCACAGAGCTGGGCTCTGAAACCAGAGCTGTGTGACTCGGAAGCCTAGGTTCTGTCATTCCGCTGTGAGATTTGGTAATCCTCCAGGCTCCAGTGAGCTCTGGAGCCAGCAGAAGGCTGGTCAGCAGCACTGAAATTAGCTGGGAATGTTACCCCTCTTCCTGGGGCACAGCCTCAAGAGGGACTAAAGGGGTTTAAGATGGAAAGTAAAAGCCTAGCTTCCCTTCACAGAGCAACTCCAGGCATCAGGCAAATGGAAGACAGGGCATCTAGTCTGTTTTAAAAAGGACAGCTTTTTTAAAAAAATTGAGACAGAGTCTTACTTTGTTGCCCCAGCTAGAGTGTCGTGGCATCAGCCTAGCTCACAGCAACCTCAGACTCCTGGGCTCAAGCGATCCTTCTGCCTCAGCCTCACGAGTAGCTGGGACTATAAGCACACACCACCATGCCTGGCTAATTTTTTCTATATATTTTTAGCTGGCCAATTAATTTCTTTTTAGTTTTAGTAGAGATGGGGGTCTCACTCTTGCTCAGGCTGGTCTCGAACTCCTGAGCTCAAACAATCCGCCCACCTCAGCCTCCCAGAGTGCTAGGATTACAGGCATGAGCCACCATGCCTGGCCTAAAAAGGATAGCTTTTAATTTTGCTTAACCCCCAGCTCTACCACTTGCTTCCAGCTCCAATATTTACCATGACCAACGGTGGGTTACTTGTCCCTTGTGTGCCTCAGCTTCCTCAGGGATAATAATGACGCGGACCCACACGGTGCCATGAGGATTAAATAATAACACCTAGAAAGCACTTAGAACAATGCCTGGCATACAGTCAGTGGTAAACAAATATCAATTATAGCATCAATGTTATTGCATCCTACTTGTGAGACGGAGCTTCTTTAATACACAGGTTCATAAGAGGGATCTTACCACATTAGTATCTTTTTGATGAGGCGAATTGAAGAAGAAGGTGCTAAAAATAGGAATGTATAGGCTATCTGACAAAACAGTCAGGTAAGTCTCTGTGAATTCAAATGCTGGAGGATGCTGGTGTACCAGCTGCCAGACACAATCTAAGAAAAGCAGGAACACAGGAACCTATGTGAAAACAAGATACACGTTACTCAGTGGGCACACAGCCCAGTGCAAGCTGTCCCAAGCCCAGGGGCAGCCATCTCTAAGCTGTGGAGTAACCACCTCTGAGCACTATATTCTCTGGGAAACACAGTATATCCATCCTATTCCAATCAATAAACATGCTCAATTGAAATCATGTACTTAGAGATTAATGTCAGTATTTGGCAATACCTATCTGTGTCAAAGACGTTTCAAAGATGAAATACGTTAAAATTTCATTATGGATCAGTATTAACAGATGAGCATTTGCAACTGATTTTGATAATAGGGAATATAACTTAGAACCCCAAATAAGTGAAATGTTATCTCCCCTCAAAAGAATTCCAGTCTTCTCATTAGTAGCACTATATTACAAAAAAATTATAGTCAATTATGATTGTTATTTTGAATTTTGTTAATAAAAAATTATGGGGGAAAAAACTATCTCCTTGCTTGCCCACACAACTATGGTCAGGGACCAGTTTTGGAGACTGAGCTGAAATGAGAAGCCTCTCTCCCCCTCCTGCAAGGAGGGCCCAGAAGACAAAGTGATGGGAAAGAAGGCAGTGGCTATAAAAATGAGTTTTTTCACAAATGTATTTTTTTTTCTTTCTTTTTTTTTTTAGAGACAGTTGCACTCTGTTGCCATGGCTAGAGTGCTGTGGCATCATCATAGATCATAGCAACCTCAAACTCCTGGGCTTAGGTGATCCTCCAGCTTCAGCCTCCCAAGAAGCTGGGAGGTGCACACCACCACGCCCAGCTAAGTTTTTCTATTTTTGTAGTAGAGACAGTGTCTTGCTTAGGCTGGTCTCAAACTCCTGACCTCAAGCGATCCTCCTTCCTCGGCCTCCCAGAGCACTAGGATTGCAAGAGCCACCATGCCCGGCCCCACAAATATATATTTTTTAAATCTATGAGTCTCCTTTATTAGCTATCCAGAGGTGAGCTATTGACAGTAATTTCTACAGTATATTATCTTACAAAGTGCTTATCCTCCTTGATTCACCAGTGACTCTGCCAGGTGAGTAGAGAAGCTAGTTATAGTCTCTCTCTATATAGAAGAGGAAATGGAAGATTAGAGATCACAAGAGACTGGCCCAAAAGTCTCACCCAGAGCCCATAAGAGAGAGGTGAAGGGGAATCTAGCTCTTGAATCAAAGTCCTGTGCTGCTTCAATTGTATCACAAATTAGCCAGCTTGCTTTCATTCAAAACTCCAATATGTTGATGTTAAAATATTTATACAGAACTTTATTTCATACCTCATTTTATGTACAATATCATTAAACAGAGTGGAAAATATTTAGACATCATAGTATAGTAAGGGAAATGAGCTCAGAAAATATGAGTGACTTCTTCAAGGGCTGGGTCAACAGCAGATGGGTTTTCTCTTGGACTCTTTGCCATTAGATATGGTGCCTATCAGTCCCCTCTTCTCAAGATAAACAAACACATTGCTCTTCACACAGTGTCAGCTCTGCCTATCACCTAATGTGAATCCCATCAACCTTTCAAATTAGTTCCTCAAAGTCACTACTAAGACTGAAGGATGGTGATTTCTATCCAGCTCAATGCGACACAGATGAGTACAGGCCAGGCCTGAAAAAAGCCACCTGGCTGAGTGAGAGGCCTGGGTTACCCCAGGAACCTGCCATGCTGTTAAAGGCAGGAGCCATGGCTCTCATTCCTGCAGCATGCTGTGTCAAGCCTTCTGAACCACAGACAGACATGCTGATTACCGAGAGAGTCATGCTAACAGTGCATGTCAGCTCTGCATTTAATTGCTCTGTGATTTAATTGAGAAAGTTTTTCATTTTTCCTCCCACCAATCATCAATAAGGTAGCCAAAGGAGTTTATACAGCTGCCACCTAGACAAGCACACTACAATTTGGGGGGGGGCCTTATTTTCTGTAAGTGATCTATAATGCTAACCCTCCTGTGCCTGAACTCAGAGGCTGAGGCCTGGAGTGATTCACCCAAAGACAAGCAGAAGTGTAGGGGCACAGTCACATACATTACTGCTAAGGCTCTGGTGAGGGTCGGCATTAACATAACCCTATGCTTCATTTTGGAAAGGTTTATGCCCAAGGAAAATTTACTTCATGTTATTATGTACACATTGAGTGTCCCTAATCTAAAATCCCCAAATCTGAAATGCTCCAGAATCCGAAACTTTTTGAGTGCCAACATAAGACTCAAAGGAAATGCTCACTGGATCATTTCAAATTTTGGAATTTTGGATTAGGGATACTCAATTGGTAATAATAATGCAAACATTTGAAAATCCAAAAACATCCAAAATCTGAAACACCATTCGTCCCATTTCGGATAAGGGATGCTCAATCTATATTTTCCATAGGAAACCTGTATCCTGAAGATCCATTTATTGCAAAGGCTAACTTAGTAGAAATTGTAGAAGTCCCTCTCACTGAGTTACTTTATATTTAAGTTTTATAAATCAGTATTACTTCCACCATGACATATATCCATATAAATACATCATGGTGCACACAATTTAGAAGAGAAGCCTCTGAACCCACACTTGTTGGTATCCTTTGTCCTCTAGGAAGAGTTTCAGTATTTTTTAAAGCACCCAAAGTCATCACACAACGAACTGAGCCCGCGTTTCCTAACCAACCTGTACTGCACGCACTCTGCAAGCAGCAGTGCCTCATCTGAAGATAGGTGTTAAACGAGAGGCTGAGCAGCTCTCCCGGTGATGGAAACAGTCTGACTGTGGGAACTCACCTCCTCTTTGTCACTCTGGCGGAGGTGGTTGCAGCGATCCAAGAAACAGTGGCCACCCATGACCCACTCCTTCTGGACGAGGCTCTGGAAACCAATCCTGGTTCTGCAGTGGGGGTCCATCATCACTTGCACCAGAGAGGAAATGAGGCAGCAGAGGTCGGATGCATTCTCCTCTAGGAGGGGCCGAGCAGCAGAGCAAAAGGAAGGAGGGCAAAATGTGTTAAAAAGCTGCAGAGTGCTCTCACTTGCACAGTTAAAAGTAGGGTTCATAACACCAGGGTCTGCTATTAATGGTCACGCTCTTATTCCTTGAAGGCAAGAGCCAATGAAAAACAGGGTAGGCGGGGCGCGGTGGCTCACACCTGTAATCCTAGCACTCTGGGAGGCTGAGATGGGCGGATTGCTCGAGGTCAGGAGTTCGAAACCAGCCTGAGCTAGAGCGAGACCCGTCTCTACTATAAATAGAAAGAAATTAATTGGCCAACTAATATATATAGAAAAAATTAGCCGGACATGGTGGCACATGCCTGTAGTCCCAGCTACTCGGGAGGCCGATGCAGCAGGATTGCTTGAGCCCAGGAGTTTGAGGTTGCTGTGAGCTAGGCTGACACCATGGCACTCACTCTAGCCTGGCCAACAAAGTGAGACTATGTCTCAAAAAAAAAAAAGAAAAATAGGGTAATGTTTTCAGACTGAAAGACAATTTGCTTCTAGCCTGTCTAGTACAGGTTCTGGCATATACTGGTACTAAACATGGATTTGTTTACTGAATGAATAAACGCAGCATTGCAAATCCACTTTCAGCACATGGGCATCGAGGTGTGCCACACAATGACAGCTAAATCACCCATATAATATGATGACCTGCTGGGCTCTGCAGACTAAGTCTAAAGCCCTTCCCTCCTGGAGTGTCGACACCCCAGTCACTGAACCCACTGTTCCACAACTTGGCTGCATTTTGGGCTCATCTCAGAGCTCCTTTCCTCCACTCCTAAGTCCTCACTTGCTCTGCTTTGGAGAAAGTTTAATATTTCTGGACTGTACCAAAATGATCTTTTATTTTCAGCTCAAGGCTCTTTCCTTTTATGTTTAAGGAGCACTGAGGTGCCTGCTTCTCCTTGCTTAGCCTAGGGGAGAAATTTTCCACATGCCCACCTGAAATGCACTTTCCAAAACCCATATGATGAAAAAAGTCTATCCACATACTTATTTAACGTTCATGACTTAGGGCAAATAAAAATATACATCTATATCTATGCAATTTGTCTTAGTTTTAAGATCCTAAAAGCCAGGGTTTATGTCTCCATGGTTTCTTTTATACAATATAAGTGCAACTCAAGTTGCCTTTCAAAAACATCCATGGTACCAGCATTACTGGGGTCAGAGAAACTTGGGAATGAATTATAACTAGGGAGGTTTTATACTGTGCTCTTTCATCCTAACCCCTGCAATCACGAAGCACTATAGGTTCAGGCTTATGCCTGTCTACTCCAGGGAACAGACCTCAATTACGGAAGACACGGATTTAAAAGAAATGGATTTTTGTCTTCTAGTGCTATCAGTTTTCAAAACAAGTTTCATTTTTAAGGGAATCTTCCTCCTTTTATCTGAAGGGTGTAAATAGTATACCTGTGGGTGATAGGAAGAGTGGCTGGAAAATGAGATTTTAGAGTACAAACAACTCAGCAGTTCACCCAGGAGTGAGGGACACCTCAGTTCCATGAGTCGAAGACTCAGTTTTCATTGTAAGCAACTGTGATCAGTAAGGTCCGGCTCTGGGTCCCTCCATCTCTCAGAAGTCCAATCTCTATCTCTCCTCCTTTTCACCAGTTACTCAGTCCTTAGATAATGCTCTGTTCTGTCATTTTTGGTTAGGTCCTTTTCAATAACATGTTGAAGACAACTCTCCCATTAGGCTGTAAACTTCTAGAAGGCACAAGTACAGAGCTCTGCATGTGGCAGGTGCTCGATAAATGTATTCAAATCTAAGTCAGCAAGCCAGCATCAGATAGAGAAAGCCAAAGGAATACACATTTTCCAGTCTGCCCTTAGGACCTAAGGCCAAACAGTTATGGAGAACATTGGAGACATGAGAAAAGCTTGGGGGGTATAAGCATGAGATAATCTACTTAATGTGTAGTGTGGGGTTATATAAACAAGCAGGTAGCTTTTTAGCTCCTATCTAACCAGTAATAGCACCAATCTTTTTTGCACAGTGGTTTACACTTGCTTTTGCACATTCTGAATGTGTCATGCACAGCAAGTTAAGCCCACTGAGGAAAAGGAAATCATGGCCCACCAAGTTTCCATGGTAACTGTAGAAAGTTGCCAAACACAAAGATATAAAAATAACAATTAAATCATCCATGTTCTCGTTATATAAAGGATTATCAAAAGATTTTTAACTTTAACCAAGCTGACTCAATATAAAACAAAATCCAAAACATTAAGAAATGTGAGCTTTGGTAAAGACACCAAACAATTCCTTCTTGGGCTGTGAATAGGTCTGCCAAGTTCCAAGTGAAAGAATTTTATTTTAAACTGTAATGCTAAAAATCCAAGGCAAAGGATTCCAAGGTTAGGGAGAAAAGAATGGGAAGGATTTCTATGCTAGCTAACTCCTTTTATAAGATAATTCCAAATACATAAAGCTACATGTACAAAAATTAAATCTTAAGTGAAGGAAGACAGAAATAATCCTTTGTGCTTTAAATATATTACCTAAAAGAAGAACGTTCATGTTTTGTGCCTCCATGCATTCCGTAATCTCTATTGCTTTTTTCAGGCAACGTCTGAATAGGAAAAAGATAAGGAAAAGGGGCATTAGTTCTTCAGCTTGGTAACAAACAAGTAGTTTAGAGATAGCCTGAGTTAATCTTCAGTTTTTCCTTTCATTTATTTTTTCATGCTAAAATCCTCCAGAAAAGAAACTAATTACTATTTACACTATTCAGATACTGGGAGACACTCATCTACCTATTAGAAACTGAACGTTCTCAGGAGGGAATCCCAAGATTGATGTTAAAATGCTGCTAGGTAATTTCTACATTAGAACCTCTCATTGAAAATTCAGACCCAAGTCTGCTGGTGAGCCCTAATAAGACCTACCAATACCCCTAGCTGCAGAATGTGAGGCATGTCTCCATTGTTTTATTCAAGGTGACCTGATGAATGTATCGGTGTGGCTAAAAAGATCTAATATGCTCAGAAACCCTTTGTGTCCCCCTCTTTCTACACATTATTCCCTTCGAGCCTGTTGCCACCACGCGCAGCTTTGACGTCCCAGCTTATACCCAGGGTCCTTCACATATGCTGCCCTCTGCTTGCAGTGGGGCCCCCTCTGCCCCCAGCAACCCTCCCTCCCCACACCCTGGCACTTTACCTGGCTAGCGATGCTCACCCTTCCCTGCCCACCCTGTGATGTCTTTCTTTTATAAAATTTATCACTGTTTTCCATTATATATTCAAATTATGGGATACATAACAGGATACTCAAAGCATAGTTAAGTGACTAGAGGGCAGAGGCTCCTTTCCACGGTACTCACTGCAGAACTGAAACTGTGTGTGTGAGGAAGGAAGCATTCCTCTCTTTCCTCAAATGTAGCCTAAGGTAGAGCTATTCTCTTCCCCATCATCATTCTGTTTTGCACCTTCGTTTGCCATATCCTCTATTTAATGGCAACGGAAAGGAGCTAGTCAATGTATAATGTAGGAAAGGCAATATAATGCTCATCTCTGGGACTGTCAACCTAACTAAACCAAACATGACTGACATTAATCATGATAAAGTTTAAAAAGCATTTAAACAGGTAATACATGTATAAGACACAAAATTCAAAAAGGTATTTAATGAAGAGTCATTATCGCTCCCATTCTTACCCCAAGTTTCCTCCCTGGAGGCCAACACTGCTGCCTCAATTATAATTTTGGGTTGCCAAAGCCCTTTTCCATCTATAGAGTATATCTGCTTTTAAGCAGGCAGCATGTTTGTAAATTCCTATCAAATGTGCACAGAAATAAGTCACAAATGTAAAATCTAGCTGAGCCCTGAATAGAACATGTTCTTTAAGAATATTTAATTGTGAAATATCAAACTGTTAAATTGTTAATTTGCTTTACTACTTTGAATTAGACAACTGTAAAATTCATGAGCAAAATAGTGGCTTGAAATACCTGATTATGTCAAGCCAGCTGCTACTTTCCAACAGAGAAAACCATTTTATATCCGTGTCCCAAAATTCAGTGCTGTTATCTGAAAAGGAAAAAAGAATTAAGATGTCGGGTCATTGTTCGCTGACAAACCTGTCGCAAAAAAACCTGTGCTACTCAACTGAGCTGTGTGGATCAACAATCCTAGACTCGAGCTGTAGAATGTAGGCCCGAGACTCCATTTCAAGCAAAGGGCTTTTCAACACTTCAGCTGAAATGCTTTTTAGACTGTTGGCCCCAGAAGGGTATGACAGTCAAAAAGAGATCTTTATTGCTGAAAAAAGAAATGCCTACACTATGTATACAAAGCCATGGTTCACCCTATAATTCAACAAAGAGAGTAACATGCATTCGGCAGAAATAGTTGACATCCGGGCTGCTATTCCTAAGTCCAAGTTAGAAAAAGTTACCTGTAAGTGTGACAAATCTCAGAGAGTAAAGACTCATTCGAAAATGGAGAGAATCAACAGGTAACAGCATGATTAGATATGAGCCAAGTTCTAGATTGTAACTTGTACGGAGCCTGGGCAAGGAAATGGGGATAGCTGGGATGGGCATGTTTCCTTTTCCACTGTGTACACTGCTGATTAATTGAAAGTATTTTCACATTGTTAGAAACTGTATATGCCCAATCAGGAAAAAAATTAAGGTATTTTCACTTTGGGAAAAAATGTCCGCTAAGGAAAACAAAGAGATCATTCACTTTATAAATCACCACCAGCTAGTGAATATAAGTTCAAAAACTTTTAAAGGGAGAAGCCAAAAATGCTCACCACTGGGCAACTGGTGTGGTGGGGAAAGGGGAGAAGAGGAGGGTGGCTGTGAGATCACTGCCAGGACATGGAAGCAGGCAGAGAAAGCCTACAGAGAGATGCAGAGGGGCGTGGTGATGGCAGCTGGCCCCTTGTCTCCATGACACTGCTGCCCTGAGCCACTGTGTACTACCATAAAGAGCCCAGGGAAAAGGCATCAACTTTCACCCGATCCACGTGGCATGTCTTTCCCCATTTGACAGAAAGTCTTTGCTCAGCCTTCTTCTTACCTATCAGAAACAGCTGTTTAAATTTAGAGTATGCAGTCTGGATTTCCTGCAGGGATAGGAAGTTGCCTGACAGGTCTTCAGTTTTAACAATTTCATAGGGTGGCCTATGGATGGTCTTGTAAATTCTAGGTATCAGAAAGGAACACAAGATTAGAAGAGCAAACACGAATTTAAAATAGCTTATTTTTCCTGAGCACTTACTATGTGCCAAAATCTGTGAAGGGCTGTGCAGGTATCCTCCCATCTAACCCTCACCTATGAGGTAACTGCTGCAGGACTACTGTTTCCTGCCAACAGATGTCGAAATGGAGGTGCCCAGAGTAGAACTACCTGGTCTAACATGATCAAGCTGATAAAGCCATGATTTGGACCAAAGTAATTTAACTCCAGAATCTATTACTATTTTTGGTTTTTAATTCTTCCACTTTGGATTTTTTTTATTGAATTTTTTTATTTTGAAAAATTTCAAACACACAGAAAAATAGCACAGAACAGTGACATATGCCATATGCCACCTAGATTTGACAATTATTAACATTATAGATAACATGCCACTTCCCCCCAAATACTTTAGCATGCAACTCTGAAAACAATGCAATTGACCTTCTTAATGATTACATTATACTGACTCCTTTCAAAGTAATTAAAAATAACTACTATAAGTTGTATTCCCCTAGTACTAAGCTACCAGCAGGGAAACAGAAAAACTACTAAGAACTGTTCCCTGCTTCTTGGAAAAAAAAGAATAGATAAACAAGAACAACATGTAGAACTAGTACTGACCCATCCAAGAAGCTCTTCTGGATTTGTAAAATGCCATCATCCTGTTCTTTGGGCAGTGCTGACATTTTCAAAAGGGCACTTCCATTGTGGCAGGACCAACACCATATCTGCAGAGTGGAATAAAGATTTTCCAGACATAATACACACAATCCAACAGGGGCCAGGTAAGCTTAGCATTTAGATTTGTACAGGGAAATTTATAACTTCAATATGAAATGGCTAGACATATTCTATTTTATTAAGCAAGAGAGTATATAATAGAAAAAACTGAGTCTTAAAAAAATCAAACAAGTCTAGATAGTTGAACTCAGACTATGTTATGGTCTAACATATACCTTTGGACACGGCTTTGGTGCCGGTAACCTAGATATAAACAACATTATTATTAGATTTAGGATAGTAGCTACTAGAGTGCAGCTTACTACAAGTCAGGCATTTTACATGAATTCATTTAATTATTAGGGTCATTCCCTGTAATAGAGATGATTATTATCCACATTAGCAGCAAGGAACTGAGGGTCAGAGAGAGTGAAGGACTTCCCTCAGTCGTACAGAAAGTAGCAACAGTCTACTCCAAAGGACCTGTTCTACCTGGATGGCAAAAATGAGGCAGCTTCCATCATTAGAGAAAATTCACACTAGGAAGAATGGAAAGTTGGCTATTTGACATGGAGTAAATACAAGACTTGTATATTCAAGGCACTGAATTCGATTGTGAGAAGGCAAAAAGATGACCAAGATACTGTGTCTACCTTCAGAGCTTAAACTCTCAAAAGGGAAATAAGCATACAAATATCTTAGGAAGTAGAACGTGGTATACAACAGAAGAACAATAAAAAAGGGCAAGGAGAAAGAAACCACATGAATGACCATCATATGAGTGACAGGCTAAGCAGGCATTTGGGCTTTTTTCTGCCTAGGTGACAGGTAAAGAAAAAAAATCTACATATATTTTTTTCTGAACACAGTGGGAGTTTTTGTTTTGCAGGAACAAATGTAGACCGGAACTGAACTTGGGGCAAAGTAATCTGCAGGCAGAGCCTAGAATGGAGGGGAGGGAACGGCTGCTTGGGCAGTTGAATAGCTGTGGACTTTGGGCCCTGCATGAAGGCCAGGCTAAGGTCCAGCCCTTGCTTTGCTGATCAAGCCATCAGCCTGGGCTCAAAGGTAAACCTGGGGGAAAAAATGCCTTTTGTAATTCAGCTGCCCAGAGGGAGAACCTTTTTGCCATTCGTCATGAATAATATAAATCATGCGCTGCATGTGCTAGTAGTAGCCTGAGCCAAGACTTAGAGATCAGCAACGATCCAGGTGATATTCTGCACTACACTTATAAAGTCACAAAGAGGAACCAGTTTGGGATTTCTGGGGAAGATGATGGAATTAGCATTGGGTATACTGGGTATCTAGTGCCAATAGGACATCCATATGGAGATATTTAGGAGGCTCCTAAAATGAGGGTTATGAGCTTCAGAGAGGAAGGCAGGACTGAAGCTCTGGACATGGAAGCTGATGAATACTGAAGTGGAAGAGATGGTCAGCCCACCCAGAAAGCCAGGACAGAGCAATATAAGATTACTTTAAGAACTCCCCTCTTGGGGGTCAAGCTGTACTTCAAGATTCATAATGAGGCAGAAGTGTTAGAATACAGAGAAACCAAAGGGCCCTTTGCTGTTCTCTTATTCCAATGTCATGCCAAGCAATGTGTAGAAACTACCACACAATTTTTAGCTCTCTGCCAAAGGTGGCAATATTTTGAATGCCCAAGCAGTTATGCCTCACTAGTTGGTACAGCTCACTCAGATAAAGGGGGAAATACTCTTAGCCACGACTGGGTGATGAGTTCTAAGAAATTAAGTGTTCTTAATGCTTTCTCTCTCCTCTCCTGGGAGGACCACAGTCTTCCTGTGGTAGGACTCAACCACATAACTCGTTTTCCATTTGGGGCATGTGTAATGATAATTTCCAATCACAATCGTCTCATTTTATCTGAGGCACAAAGGGCCAATCCCCTACCATTCTCTACCTGAAACAGTAAATAGAAATGAACAGAATTCCTGGTCAGAGAGAGACTTCTCATAGGGATTTAGTAAAAAGTCTTCTGCCCTCCAAGTACTAACCAGGCCCGACCCTGCTTAGCTTCTGAGATCAGATGAGATCGGGCACGTTCAGGGCGGTATAGCTGTAGAAAGCAAAAAGTATTCTATTCTTGCAATATGTACAATTTCTCTCTTGGAAAGGGCCACAGAGTTCTTAGTATGAATGACTTAATATGCAAGAATTACAGTTTGTTAATCCCATTTATTTTAATATTTTCGAAGGGGGGGAATTACTCATTATTTGGTACATTTTAAGGTATCTCTCCCAATAGAGTCAAAAACAGTTTTAGAAGGACATCTACAACCAGAGGCTAGAAAGTAGTGTAAGTAAGAAGGACAGGAATCAAGCGAGGAGGTGAGAGTATAGTGTTTCCTAAGGCAGGACAGGAAGTTAAAAGACAAAAAAGGAATGATGTAATCAGTGTCAAAAACTGCAGTGATCTTATAGAGAACTGGGGATGTGCACAGCTCAATGACTTCTGGGAGGAAAATGTCAGAGAGTGAGCAGAGTAGAAGTCGTGTTGCAAAATGAAATGAGTAGGCCGGGCGCGGTGGCTCACGCCTGTAATCCTAGCACTCTGGGAGGCCGAGGCGGGCGGATTGCTCAAGGTCAGGAGTTCAAAACCAGCCTGAGCGAGACCCCGTCTCTACCATAAAAATAGAAAGAAATTAATTGGCCAACTAATATATATAATATAAAAATCAGCCGGGCATGGTGGCTCGTGCCTGTAGTCCCAGCTACTTGGGAGGCTGAGGCAGGAGGATCGCTTGAGCCCAGGAGTTTGAGGTTGCTGTGAGCTAGGATGACGCCACGGCACTCACTCTAGCCTGGGCAAGAAAGCGAGACTCTGTCTCAAAAAAAAAAAAAAAAAAAATGAAATGAGTAAAGGTCAGGCACTGGCTCATGTCTGTAATCCCAGCACTTTGGGGGGCTGAGGTGGGAGGATATCGCTTAAGGTCAGGAGTTTGAGGTTGCAGTGAGCTACGATGATGCCACTGCATGCCAGCCTGAGTGACAGAGCGAGACCCTTTCTCAAAAAAAAAAAAAAAAAAAAAAAGAGTAGAGAGAATAAGTACATATTCTTTAATTATGTTTGACATTATAGAGCAGGCAAATAAGATAGTAGCTTGACTGTTAAGGAAGAGCTTCTTCAGGTTAGGAAGACTTAGGGAGGTCTTCAAGAAGAGTAGAATATACTTCAGAAACATAACCACGGAAGAGGGAGGGCAAACAGAACTGGGATCCAGACAAAGTAATCAAAACCCAGATAGAGGGTCAGATTCCATGTGAAGGAAACAGGAGCACAGAGAGAAACAATAGGAGGCCAAGAAGAAGGAAATTGAGGGAGTTCTTGTCGCTGTCCCGGATCCCACTGAAGCAGAGGAAATTCGTCACTAAGAGTTAAGCATGGCCAGGCTCGGTAGGTCACTCCTATAATTCTAGCACTCTGGGAGGCCAAGGCGGGTGGATCGTTTGAGCTCAGGAATTTGAGACCAGCCTGAGCAAGAGCGAGACCCTGTCTCTAATAAAAATAGAAATAAATTAACTGGACAACTAAAAATATATAGAAAATATTAGCTGGGCATGGTGGCACATGCCTGTAGTCCCAGCTACTTGAGAGGCTGAGGCAGCAGGATTGCTTGAGCCCAGGAGTTTGAGGTTGCTGTGAGCTAGGCTGAAGCCACGGCACTCTAGCCTAGACAACAGAGTGAGATTCAGTCTCAAAAAAAACTAAAAAAACATGGAAATGTTCTGGAACAAATCACAGTAATAGTTACACAACATTGCAAATATACTAAATGTTACTAATGGGAAATTTTATGTTATATGTATTTTACCACAATTTTAAAATATTCTAAGACACTCCCTAATCTAGCCCCAAGCTATCTCGTCAATGTTAGCTTCCGCCACTCCCCTATGCTCCTACAGCACAGGAACTGTGATAGTTATAGCTATTGATATTTATCACATTAGAAACTAAAACTGAGAAATTTTTAAATATTAATTCATTTTAAAATAACCAATTGCATGTTAATATAAATAACATTTCCCCCACACAAAAAGATTAGTAAGATAAATGGCATTGTTTTACATTTTGGCAAACCTCTTAATAATCTGGTATAGTAAGAGACAGCTTGATTTTCTTATCTGCTTAATAACAAAAAAGTATGGGGAACAAAGTGTAAATATGAGTAGATTCAATAGGAAAGAGAGAAAGGAGGAGGGAATAAGGTAAGGATGTGGCCAGAGAGGGGCTTATGGTCACTCATGTAACTTAGTTGTCACATTTTCTTTAAGTCTCCTTAGGAGTCTGATGAGACATATGCTAAATAAGAAACAACAATCTAGACCACCTTAAGGCAGGGGCTCTCAATCTGTTTTTGCCCCCTAGGAGACATCTAGCAACGTCTGGACATATTTTTTGGTTATCACAACTTGGAGGGTGCTACTGGCATCTCAGAAGATGTTACTGGCAGGAATGGTGTTAAATATTCTACAATGACTGCTTCCACAAGAAAGAATTATCTGGCCCACATGTCACTCATGCCTAGGCTGAGAATTCCTGACTTAAACAAAAAATAAGAGGTTATAATAGTATAAGTCTGCAATACTGATAATATCAAAGGAACATTTGAAAGGGTTGTTGGGTTTTCTAGGTTAAGCTACATAATTTCACCAATTCCAAATACAAAATAAATTGTCTTTTAATTTGCTTATGATCATTTCTGGTGATCTTAATAGTCAAGTCAAATGAAAATTTTGCATTAAAAAAAGAGAGGGAGATAGTGAGAGCTCTGTGTTATCTGTGTAAATTCTATTTTGTGTAATATTTTTCCACGGTCGATTTATACAAACTCCACCAATAACTTTCAGACATATAATTAAGACAAATGTAATGAAGTGAGAACACCTTTCCACAATTTCTATCAAAGTTATGCTACAGACCCCTCACTGAGGTCTTTTTTTTTCTTTTTTTTGAGACAGGGTCTTGTTCTGTTGCCCAGGCTAGAGTGCTGTGGCATCAGCCTAGCTTACAATAACCTCAAACTCCTGGGCTCAAGAGATCCTCCTGCCTCAGTGTCTAGAGTAGCTCAGACTATAGGCACATGCCACCATGCCCGGCGAATAACTTACTTAGGTCTTATCAGAACATTTTCTATTTCTTAGCCCCCATGCCTGGCTAGAATGCACTGTATCTAAATTTCATGCACTGCAGAGATGGAGAAGCAGCCTATTCCCACATGTGTGGATAAGTTCATCTTTGTTTCCTTCCACAGAGCATACCCTCTATTCTGGATTCCTCTATAAAAGGATAAAGAATGGTGACTTTCATTTTTATTCCTCTAAAGCAACCAGTTTTAAAGTATAGTAAACACTCTTTTGGGAGGTCCCAATACCCTTTCAGTCTAAAAAGCCTATTAAATATTCCTTCTTTCCCCATATATACAACTCTGTGAAACTGGAGTTTCTTCATGTGCTTCAACCAAACCTCAACATACCACATCTGAATAAAAGAAGCAGAATCCACCTGTCTCCTATTTTCAAAAAGGTAAAAGAATGCTATTCTTTTGTTTTTTGGAAAGTATAGTTATTTTTTCATAGAAATATGTTATTTTTGCTAACATGTAATGAGTTTATTACTTAAATAAATATTGTGAAAATTTTCAACTTGAATTTTTAATAAGGCAAATAGCAACAGATACAACCTACAGAAACAAAAACACTTTGAGATACTTAATAATTTTTTAGAGTATAAAGAGTCCTGAGACCAAAAAGTTTGAGAACTGCTACTCTATTTTTACATATATTTTTATTCCCAGGAGCACAGACTCAAGTTGCCCTGAATATACACTCCTGAGAACTGCTACTCTAAATCAAAGGTTGCAAATTGATGGAACATGAGCCAACTCCAGCCCAAAAGCAAGTTTTTTCAACATCTGAATCAGGTGCATATATTTAGAAATCAGGAAAATGCATACAAAGAGCTGTATCTCCAGCTTCTCCTGAAAAATCAGGACATCTGACAACACCCGGCCCATAGTCACACATGGCACATACTGGCTAGTGCTGAAGAGCTGTCCCCCAGACCGGGCAGAGGGCCTCTGGTTCACTGCGAGGGTCACGCTCATTACTTACACCTTGCTGCCATGGGCTTCTGGGCATGTGACCCCTGCTTAACCACCCCTTCACCCATATGGGAATGACCCTTTTGGTGAACCAGCCGTGTGCACAGCACAGCATTTATTTGTAATTTTCATTCCTTACTAAATACCCTGCAGGCTTGGCAATTCCCAACCACCAATTAGAAACCGGAGTAACTGCCAGAGTCTTGCTTTCTTTGATCAGTGACACATTAAATACAACTCCCATTCCATTCTCTTCTTGAAAACTAAGAAGCACTCCATGTTGTCTCTGGGAGAAAACATAACCATGACCATACAAAGATTAAAAGTGTGGGCCAAAAAGAATCTTTTTATTTTATTTATTTATTTTTTGCTTCTCCAAACAAGTCAGTTGTCTGAATCATATTTCAGTTGTCTGACAAAAAGAATCTTAAATCCTACTACCATTAGAGTGGCTCAGCTCAGGTTTAAAATGGTTTAGGTGTCAAACTAGGTTTTCTTTCAACCCTCGACAGATCTATGATCCTCTTAAAGCTTTTTAAATATCTCTGCTAAAAACTCAGGAACATTTGTGAAAACTTTAGAACTCTGTTCCAGTCATGTCCAAGAGACTCCTCTAGGGAGTCCCTAAGATATTTTTGGATCACTCTTGGACTGAGTACAAACTCTTCAGTACCAAAGCCAAAAGCTTCAAGCAGAATCACTCTGTCAGGATGGGCCAATGAGGAAGCCGTGCCTCCTTGGGTTTCCAGACGCACTTACTGGTATGCCGCGACCCTGAAAGCACTGCACATCCTCTTCGGCAAGAGGGGTGGGGACAACAAAGTATGCTGGCAACCTAGAAGAAAGAGATGTCATCCAGTTTTAGTACTACACTTAATTCACAAAATGTAAAGGCTCAAGTTCAATGAACACAAGGAAACTAAGCAGAGTGTCATGACAAGAACCATATCTCCCTGTTAAGAAGACCCAGCTCAGATGAATTGCTGCTCTCAGTTTGGTGTAAAGTACTCTGGCCAAATCAGTTGGGAATCTGAGTTCAAATCCAGGCCCTGTCTCTGATTCTGCACAACCCTAGGCAAGTTTTTCTACCTTTCTGGGTCTGTTTCCTCTTCCATAAAATGAGGGGATTAGAAAATATGATACCTAAAAGCATATGAAATCCAAAATTTGGAGTGATTGTTCTTATCATATAGTAACCATACAAGCACCTGTGTTGCTTTCAGTTAAACTAATATAAAAATCAGTAATTATGATTGCTGCCCAAACATTTTATCAAGTGCTCTGAAAATAACATTTAAGTGCTACTATGTGCCAGTCGTTGTCCTAATTACTTAACATGAATTCTTCATTTAATCCTAACGATCTTATGAGGTATTCATACACTATTATTTCCATTTTACTGATAAAGAAACTGAGACAACACTGCTAAGACCCTTCCCAGTTTAGACAACTAGTAAACATATAGTGGAGCTGAGACCTGAACTCAAGCAGTATGACTTTAATTTCTACAGGAGAAAATTTTGTCTTTAAAAACAAACCCGTTAAGTAGCAGGACATGGCAGAGTTAGGTTTTATGAGTTGTAGAGATTAAAGATATATGGGAACATCATCTCTTCTTTTAGTTAGCAGATGTAGGTTTCTATTAACAAGAAATCTGCCTAAGTTCAGTTACTGTGAATCTGCAAACATGTGTCCTTCAAAGACGTGGAAATAAAGCCTCACGAGAAATAAGGTGCTTACGGTGTTAAATTACAACAGAAAATAATTAGATGGTTTTGTATACATGCCGTATGTTTGACATAAATCTGTTAAGTATTAGGTCATGGGAAAGATGGATTTTCACAGTTAGAGATCAGAACTCAAATGTGGTCAACCTGTTAGACCTAATCAATTCATTGAAGATGGAGCAACATATTAAATATCTCCATGGGGCTGTGATCATAAAAATCCAGACTGTGGGCCAGACACAGCAGCTCTCTCTTGTAATCCTGGCACTTTGGGAGGCTGAAGCAGGAGGATCACTTGAGCCTGGGAATTTGAGGTTGCAGTGGGCTACGATAGACCCACTGCACTCTGGCCTGGGTGACAGAGCGAGACCCTATCTCTAAAAAAAAAAAAAAATCTAGGCCATGGGAAACTATTAGATAAATGGCCTGGTTTCTTCAACAAATTTTAAGAAAGATATGATGGCATAAGAATCTATGGATTAAGCAATTTAAGAAACCTATCAACTGGCCGGGCGGTGGCTCACACCTGTAATCCTAGCACTCTGGGAGGCTGAGGCGGGTGGATCATTTGAGCTCAGGAGTTCAGACCACCCTGAGCAAGAGCAAGAGCAAGACCCCGTCTCTACTAAAAAAAAAAAAAAAATAGAAAGATATCAACTGGACAACTAAAAATATATAGAAAAAATTAGCTGGGCATGGTGGTGCATGCCTGTAGTCCCAGCTACCTGGGAGGCTGAGGCAGGAGGACTGCTTGAGCCCATGAGTTTGAGGTTGCTATGAGCTAGGCTGAGCCATGGCACTCTAGCCCTGGCAACAGAGTGAGACTGTCTCAAAAGGCAAACAAACAGGCCGGGCGCTGTGGCTCACGCCTGTAATCCTAGCTCTTGGGAGGCCGAGGCGGGCGGATTGCTCAAGGTCAGGAGTTCAATACCAGCCTGAGCAAGAGCGAGACCCCGTCTCTACTATAAATAGAAAGAAATTAATTGGCCAACTGATATATATATATAAAAAATTAGCCGGGCATGGTGGCGCATGCCTGTAGTCCCAGCTACTCGGGAGGCTGAGGCAGGAGGATCGCTTGAGCCCAGGAGTTTGAGGTTGCTGTGAGCTAGGCTGACGCCACGGCACTCACTCTAGCCTGGACAACAAAGTGAGACTCTGTCTCAAAAAAAAAAAAAAAAAAAAAAAAAAAAAA